TCCTATTATGTGGGGCAGTATAGGTTTTATCCTGTTCACTATAATTTTAGTGACTATTTTGTAGATGGTATTGTAAAGGCCAATGGGTCTGAAGTTTTTCAACATTGAGGCTTGTGGACATTTAGGAATTAGGCACAAAAGGGTTTGGTTCATGGTGTTATCCATGGAGCATGTGCTGAAGCACTTGTGGCAGAATTCTGTGACAGAGTCCCCAACAATGTCCCAATATTTTTGATAGAAAAAAGGGTGGAGACCATCGGGGCCTAGGGATTTGAAGGGTTTGCTAGAGAAGACAGCCTTTTTGATTTCACTCGTATGGAGAGGTCTGTCCATGAAAGCCTTGTGGCTTTGGTGCAGTGTAGGTTCCATGGTGGAGTGGTGAGTGGTTGCCCAAGGGACTTCAGAGTGGGAGGTTGAATAGAGCTCAGTAAAGAAGTTAACAATGGTAGACTGTATCTTTTTTTGGTCATTGATCCAGTTGCCATTTTCTTCTTTAAGGGATAGGATTCTGTTTCTCCTCCTTCTATTAAGGGTAGAAGTGTGGAAAAATCTTCCTCATTCCTGAGGATGAGATTCAGCTCACCATTAAGGTCTGATTCGAGCTTTTGGAGGAAGCTGCTGAATTGGTAACTGGGTGACTTTTGGATGCCACAAATTCTGGCCAAGAGTCTGTTTTTTTGGTGGAAAATGTTTCCAAAGACTTCTTGGTTCCATTTTGTTGCCAGAGTTTTGAATGTTTCAATGGGTTGGAGGAGGGGTGATTGGCCAGAGAAAGCTTGATTGATAATGCTGGGGAAGGAAGGGTGGCTTGCCCATATTGTTTCAAATCTGAAGGGCCTAGCTGGTTTGTTACTTGGAGGCCCTTCCATTCGGATTTTTAGAGAACAGTGGTCTGACTGGGTCCTAGGGAGGTGCTGAACACTTGCCTCAGGGTACTGTTTAATCCAACCCTCATTGGCAAAGCACCTATCAATTCTTTCTAGGATAAGGGAAGTTCTGTTTGAATATCTTTTATTAGTCCAAGTGTATTTGCTTCCCTTATACCCTAGGTCAATTAAGTGACACTTATTTATGCAATTCCAAAATAGGTTACTGCGGCCCAGGTTTATAGGGTTACCCCCAAACTTGTCCATGGCTTTCAAGACTTCATTGAAGTCTCCACCTATGAACCAGTTGTTTCTTGTGTTATTGGAGATGGTGATAAGCTGCTCCCATAGGAGCTTTCTTTCTTCTACTATGTTACTAGCATAAATAGCTGAAAAAAGCTATGGAGTGTGATCAGGTCTTACCTTTACCATTGCGTGGATACCTTGGGGGGTAGTGGCCACTTCTTCCACAGCTACAAGATCCTCTTTCCACATGAACACGATTCCCCCAGATAGGCCTACCGCTGGGGATTGAATGATCATGTCAAAATCAAGCTTCTGGGCCAAGGTCTGATGGTCAGCCATCTTTGTTTCTAGCAGGACGAACATTGCCGGCTTGTGCATCCTCACCATCTCTAAACAGTGCCTTTTGAATTCGGCACTGTTTCCACCCCAACATTCCATATGATGTAGTTCATCATTGGGGATGTGGGTGGTTAGTGAGGTCCCTGTAGAGGGCTCGTTGGACCTGGCAGGCCTGGCTCTTGTGGGGGAGGAGATTTCCTCTTCAGGCTCAGAATAAGTGTTAAGTTCAGTAGTGGTTTTGGTGGTCCATGTGTTTGGGCTGAGACTAGGCTCATTCCGCACTTGGACATGGATTTGGGGCACAGGGCTACCACTATTTCGCTTGCTTTAGTGCTGAATTCGATCGATCTTACCGAGTCCAGCATAATCGAGTCCGTTCTTGGTGTTGGGTAGGTATGCTCCAGCTCCTCTGGGGTATCCTTCTTCTTGAGTATCTCTAATGATTTGGAGATTCCTTGTTGGATATTCTGAAGGGGTGGTGAGTTGTTCGTTCTCCTTGGAGTGGAAGATGATGGTTTTGTTGACTGGACGATCGGAATGAAGACTGGCTCCGCCGCTGCGTCTTCTTTCATCAGGTCTGGGAAGAATGGGAGAGATTGAAAGCTTTGGATGATGTGGTTGTTGAGTGTTTGTGGGTCTGTTATCGGAGCTTGGAAGTCGCTGTTGGCCATCGATTGCCATAGGAGAGGGCCAAACGCCACTAAGGCCTTCTTCAGGGCTTCCACTGTCACTCTGGCTAGGTGGGCCAGATTTTGCACTATCAGCGTCACCTTCCTGTTGTCCAGAGTGAAGTCATAAGAAAGGCCTTGCCCCTGCAAGGCAACCTCCAACCAGGAGGCCGGTTGGTGGTCCGGTGGTAGTGGGTGGGTGGAGATGGTGGTTGGAAGCATTTCTTTTACCATTTTTGTGCTTCTTTGATTTACTACTTTGGGTAAGGATGGGAGTGAGGTTTAAGGACTGATCTCCCATCATAAACCCTTCTGGTGTCACATCTTGGACAGTGGGAAGGTTTCTGGGTGTTGGGATTAGGGGTGTTGTGTGTTCATTAATTGGGGATGTAATGAAGGTGACGGTTGATGTCTTTTCGACTGGAGAGGGAGAAGAGTGCAGATAGGGCACTTGATTACCGTTTCTGTCGCTTGAGTTTTCGCCATTAGTGGGTGTTTCAGTAGCTTTGGTAAGGGAAGCGTAGGTTTTGGAGTTTGGGTGGGGAGTGAAGTTGTCAGTGGTACCCATGGTTGAGTACCCGTTCAAATGCAAGGAATCAGCCCCATTGGGCAATTTGCCCAACGTGATGATTGAATCATTGGGGTTTGGGCTGGCATTCGCTTGAGAAATGGGCTGATGATTTTGGACAGTGGGGTCTTCTGAAGTTGGCCCCGCTTTTCGCTTGGCTCCCGTGTTGGGCTGGTCCCTTGGGCTTGGGTTATGCACCTGCTTGGGCGTGTGTTGATCAACGGGTGGCGTTTTTATCGGGCCTAATGGCATTCTTTTGTTTTTTGAGTACTATGTACTGTTTTTTTAAAATTATAGTTAAAAGTTTTTGTTTGAAGGAATTTTCCTGAAATGGCGTCGAACATGTTTACCTGAACCTCCTCAGCTTGTGGAGTACGCTGTGGTTTAGGCACATTACCTTCGATGGGGATAGTTGCTTTTGGTTGTCCCTACTTGCATCTTCGTGGAAAGGTGACAGTCTTCCGTTCACTTTCTTCTGTGGTTGGATCCATTTGGTGAACTTCTTGTGTTCCATTGGCTGTTGTGGAGGAGTGTGGTTTATAGTTGCACTTTGGTGCAGTGTGTCCTATCCTGCCACAGCTGGTGCATAGGGTTCCTTCACCTTCATAGACCACCGATTGTACATGATCTCCTATGATTATTGTTGTTTCCACTGGAGTTTCCAGTGGTACTTGAATACAGATGCGTGCATATCTCCCCCTTAGGGTAGAGGATGTACATTGATCTATCTTCAAGAGTTTACCTAGTTTCCTCCCAACTTTTTCCAAGATAACTTTGTCATAGAATTCTGTTGGCAGCTGAGGCAACCTTATCCAGATGGCAGTAGAAGTAAGGGTGGCTTCATGAGGGACAAGTTTTGGTTCCCACTTCCGAACAGATAGGAAGTGTCCAGAGACAAACCATGGCCCTAGATGTAATGCCTTTACCATACTTTCCTCTAAGCTAAATTTGACTATGAAGAAGTCCCATCCTAGGTCAATCAAGATTAACTGTTCAAATGGCTTACATAGGTCAATTAGTTTAGATCGAAGCATGTGATGAGGCATCTTTCTTTTAAATATTTTGATGATTACTGAGTATCTCCATGGCGTATAGAGACGTTCCTTCTTTTCTGGTGAGAGGGGGATGGAGCCTTCAATGTGTATTCCTTTAACCAATTTTGGGGTTGATTGGTTTTCCATGTCGTAGTAGTTGGTTTGGTTGCACGCTTGCTTGTCCAGTAGCAATTCCTTATAGGAGTGTTGAGGTGTTTCTACCTCCATTTGGATTTGTTTATCGGGGGGTTCCGGTGGGAGAGGTGGTTTGATCAAAGGGGGTTTCATGGTATGGAGTGGTCGGTTTTTTAGAGAGAGAGAATTTCTTCTTTTCACAAAAATTTCTAGAACGTTACCACATTGCTCTTGTGGTATTTCATTTGATTTCCTCTTTGATCATTAATCTTTTTACCTCAATCCAACACCAGTCATTCTTCGCTCCTACGGTCACTTTGTCGCAGATGTGACACTGCTTCTGCGACAATACAATCGATTTTGCATATTTTGGTAGGTTTTAGGCGGTCCGTAGTCTCAAGTCTCACCATGCATTTTGCAGGAACTTTATACAACACAGGAACATTAGTATATAATAATGTTGCTAAGAAGGATCATATCCGGAAAAGAGCCAACCTTTTGGAACTAGTATTAAATTCACGGACAAATAAGAGAAAATTGGGCAACTAACATGTTAGTTGCTTTGTCTGTAGAAGTATTCAACTGCATATAAATTGAAGTTGCTCCTTAATGGCAATTATGATATTGCTCATTTTCAGTTTTATTTTTTTTAAATTTATTTATGATCAATTAACAGAAGTTATCTAGAGTTAAACGAAATAGAAAAGGGGCCAAAGGAAAGAAAATACAAGGATAGCAAAATGAAAATCCTAGGATGAGATCAGAGATCAACTGCCAGCCCAAAAAAGTTTGGTAATCTAATCTATTTTATAAGCGGAAAAAGTTTTGTTACCCTGTATAACAAGCGAAACAAAGCTCAAAAAACAGAAAGTACCATAGCACTTATTAGTTTCACTGGAAAAGCTCATTAAATTGGGTTAGAATTGGCTCACAGCATAACAAATCTCCATACATGAAATATTTTGGTTCATCAAGTTAAATTCCAAAGGAGAAAATCATTGCCTTGCGTCATTACATTGCTCATCGTCATAAAACAAACTTAACTTATGACTGACTTATTAAGACGGCAAACCAAGATAGTACTAATACAGAAATTTATCAGAACACTTGAAAGATAATACAGTAGCATCTCTTACAATGTAGCTCAGCCTGTCTGATGGAAAAAATCAGCCAACCATTTCATCAAACACCTGGCGTTCTCACAATTTGTATCAACCAAATGGAAGACATGGTCCTCCCCTTCTGTTTCCTTAATTTCCACTTCACCTCCCCATCCACTTCCCTTCAGCGCCTCATAGTAAGTCCAGCCTCTATCTTTGTAAAAATCACTCCCTGCAGTACAAATCAGAACTTTAGGACAAACAAGCCTGGATAGCAAACTTGGGTGAACCGCCGGATTAAATCTAGGATCATCGCTTCTGGGATTTTCCGGACAAATATATGTCCAAATCTTATCAGGCTCATCATTTCCGAAAAAGGGGTGAATTAATGCCATCCCAACAAGTCTCAAGCCAATCGTGTGTTTATCTTCATCTACACTTGAGCGCATCATCATGTTATGAGCAATATTAGCTCCGGCACTATCACCCGCCAAGAAAACCCGAGAAAAATCAGCATGGGTTTTTAGCCATGGATCAGTTCCTTGAGCAACCCATTTCATCACAGCCCAGGCATCGTCGTAGCACGCAGGGATTTTGTGTTCTGGGGCTAATCTATACTCAACAGATATGGCCAGCACATTGGTTTCAGCAGCAACAGAGTGGAGGTAACTATCATAATAGGTTGAAAATGCAGACTCGATCGTAAACCCACCACCATGGAAGTACACAATGAGTGGAAATTTCTGGTCATCTTGGGTGATTTTTGGAAGGTAAAAGCGTACTGATACGTTGTTTTCCGGTACAATAACTACGTCTTTCGATCGGGCGCCGGTTTGTGGATTGTCTGAGGCTGGGGCAAAGTCATGGTTCCGAAATCTTTCGACGCGGCCATCTTTGTAAACCCGAAAAAAATGTGGGATCTCGTGAGCAATTGCAGCTGTAGGATTTGAATCCATTCTTCAATTGGAGTAGCTGATGCGGGTAGGAGAACCGTGATTGAATAATAAGAAGGGATTTGAAGTCAGATGAAATGGAACCTGCAAAGTGGAATAAGCCCAAAAACAAAATATCAATGGGCTTGTTATGAATTTCTATATTTTAGAGAGATTGTAGGTATTATGCTTGGTCCTATTTCATTGTAATTGATCCCAATATCAATAAGAATTCTCTCTCCCTACTTTTCTTTGCAATACTGTTCTTCTTCTTTTATTATTTCATAACATATTATCAGCACAAGACTCTAATCAATTGAGTAGAAGCTTCGGGATTGAGAATAATGATTGTCAATTGTTCCATGAACTTCCTTCATGATTAAGTTCTGGATTTAAGGTAAGTATTTTACCGTATTTCTCTCTTTTATTCTGTAATTTGATTTTGAATACAAGCAAAGACAATAAATTTTGATTATAACTCTAATAGAGTTTGTAAGAAATTAGAACCACGCGAAGTGGTAAAATTTCTACGTCTTGCCATGGTCAAATTTATGTATGATTGTGAACACAAGATGTGGAAACCCGTTGCATTGAATTTGCTTCATTCTCATTCCCTTAAGAGAATGTGATAGCAATATGTGATAAGTCTGAAAGAAGACAAAATTATTACCGTGAAGGTATCAATGGATGTGGACGTGGCAATAAACGCAATTATAATCGCCATCATTGTGATAATGAGAATAATAAGGATTCTCAAAATAATCCTTCACTTTATGAAAGTAATATTTGTCATCGATTTGACATGAGATTTTATAAAGCACATATCAATGATTATGGTTCATTCATGATATGAATGTGACAACATCTAATTTATGAATACATATTCATTCTTGGAAGAATATGAACATGCTATTGGTAGTGAATATACCACACTCACCTCTAGAAGGAGGTTTGAGATGATATAAGAAAATAATATTATTATTATGGCATGAATGGTCATTGGTCACGTACCTATTGCACGCCAAAATATTTTGGTAATGTGATTATTAAAGAATAACATTAATGCAAGAAATATATCTTGCATATAATTTTGACCATAACCATAATGGTATAACTCTCTTTAAAAGAGATATTCACCATATGGATGTTGATGAATATGTGGTAGTACCAAATCAATAGAGAGCTCTAGAAGAGCCAATTATTATTATTTTGGAGGAAAAATTGATTATCAATATTGTGTTGTAGTAAGTCTCAAAGAAACTTAATTGCATTTCTAAAGTATTCGGGAAAGTGGTTGGTCATACTGAGACTACAAATAAAGGAAAGATTTAATATCTTCTATTACTACAACTTGTAGCGGGATAATATGTTTGTGAAAAGCTACCCGCTTTATTCTCCAGTTTGTACTACATAAATAAAACAATACCAAACTAAAGTAGATGTTTATTGCTATAAAAACCTGTCACGACCCCAGTTCGCCTTCTGTGAACTGTCGTGATGGAACCTAGTCCCTACGACTAGGTAAGCCTAACAAGTGCGGAAAAATAATCGAAACCTTACAGAAATTATAACTTAAAACCAAGATTAACAAAATGGAAATGAAATGTAAAATGCCACTCGGCACATACAGCACAATATCTCAAACTTCTACAATACTATCCCAAAACCCGAAAACTCACGGGAACACAAGCTGAGAGAAATATAGTAAAAATGCTCTAACTCCGGAATGTCTACATCAATAGTATGATAGAAGGGCTAATACTACAAGATAGAATAAAGATGGAGACTCTTCGATCTGCGGACGCGACAGATGTACCTCGAAGTCTCCAAAAGCTCTCCCTGCCTCAAGGATGGTAAGCCTGTGCAGAAGTACCTGGATCTGCACATGAAAAACATGCGCAGAAAGGGCATGAGTACACCACAATGGTACTCAGTAAGTGCCAAGCCTAACCTCGGTTGGGTAGTGATGAGGAAGGTCAGGCCCCTACTGAGGTTAAATAAGATACAGGTTTAACAGTGTGAAATGACAGTGTAATTAAATAAGACAAGTTATAAAGGACAGCAACAACTATTACAAAGGCAAGTAAAACACAGTAAAAGAACATAACTCAACTCCGAGATAACAACCGGGGATCTCCCAGGATACCGTCCTGTAGTCCCCAAATATAAATATCATGTCCAGTGGATATCCCGGGTGCAGTCCCATAGTCCAACTCAAAATAAAGTGCAGGGGGATCTCCCGGAATGAAATTCCGTAGTCCCAAAGTAGCATACAGGGGAACTCCCGGGATACCGTCCCGTAGTCCCAAAATAAAGTGCAGGGGGATCTCCCGGAATACCGTTCCGTAATCCCAAAGTAAAATACACAGCAACAACAGTACTCAATTCTATCAATTTCATATCAAGTGAAGCAGGTAATCCTAGCCTAGCATGGTTCACGTAGTACAATTTAGGCAGTTAAGACAGATAAAGCAATTTAGTCAATTAGACATCCTTCTCTAAGCTACAGCGGGTTTAAATATCAAACAGTATAATCAAAGAAAGGAGGAACACAATTCAAGGCTATTTTAAAAGAAAAAAAACGAATTTCCAACAATTAGCACAAGTGCGCGCTCGTCACCTCACGCACGAGGTTAGACAAGCCACTTACCTCGAACCGGCTCGAAATCAACTAGAAACCACGCTTTTGCCACGAGTATCCGACTCCAAATGGCCCAAATCTATTCAATTCAATTACATATCATAAATAACATCTCAAGCAACTGATTCTACAATTTAATTCAAAGCTAATACGCGAAATTATGTAAAATGACCAAAATGCCCCTCAGGCCAACGTCTCGGAATCGGGTGAAATTTATATTTTCAGAAACCTCGTACTCTCACGAGTCTATACATAACAAGAACACTGAAATCAGAGTCCAAATGACCCCTCAAATCCCCAATTATAGGTCTCTTAAACTCAAGCCCTAGTTACCCCCTTTTCCCAAATTTCTCACCATTAATTAGGCCTTTAATCACATAAAAACGAGTTATGAAGTCAAGGACATTATCTCCAAGTGATTCTCCTTTCATTTCCTCAAAAACCCCTCTCAATAGCTCCAAACCCGGATGAAAATGATGGAAGAATAGCCAATTTTCGCAAAGGCAACTATTTATGTGATCTGCCCAGCTACTTCCGCATTTCTGGCCCTGGGACCGCATCTGCGGTCCCGCTTCTGCGGACAAATAGTCGCACCTGCAATTTTCATTAAATGGCCAAGCTTCCGCATCTGCGGTCCTCCACTCGCAGATGCGGTTACGCTTCTACGGAAGATCCACCACATCTGCGGAACCTGAAGAACCAACCAAAATCCACTTCTGCGGGCCTCCTACCGCATCTGCGGTTTCTGAAGGAATGACCCCAAGCCGCTTATGCGGTTCTTTAGCCGCTTCTGCGGCGCCGCATCTGCGGATCCCAAGCCGCAGATGCGAAAATACCAGAAGCAGTAATACTACAGCTACTGCAACACTTCCTCAACCTCCCCGTCAACAATCCGAAATCATCCCGAGGCCCCCGGGACCTCAACCAAAAGTACCAGCAACACCTAATACGTCATTCAAACTTGTACCAATCTTTAAACCATCTAAAACAACATTGGAACCTCGAATTAATCAAGGATTTAATCCTAAGAACTCCAAATTTTCCTCAAAATACGCTTTCGATCAAAAATCTAACCAAACCACTTCCGAATGACCTAAAATTTTGCACACACGTCCTAAATAACATAACGAAGCTGCAGAAACTCTCGAAATTCCATTCCGACCCTCGGATCAAAATCTCACTATCGAACCGGAAACTTCAAAATTCGAACTTTCGGCATTTCAAGCCTAAATTAGCTACGGACCTCCAAAACACATTCCGAACACGCTCCCAACCCCGAAATCTCCTAACGAAGCTAACAGAACCATCGAATTTCTGTTCCGAGGCCGCTTTCACACTGTTCCGACTACGGGCAACTTTCCAACACTTAAGCTCTCATTTAGGGACTAAGTGTCCCAAAACTCTCCGGAACTCAAAACCGAATATCCCGGCAAGTCAAAAATAGCAGAAATAAACTTGGGGAAAGCAGTTAATAGGGGATCAGGGCGTAAATTCCAAAAATGACCGGCCGGGTTGTTACAAAACCCATATCATAACAAGCTTGGAGTTTATTGATAATTGCACACGTCATGGTGTAAACCTGATGTTTATCAATATTGATAATTTATTCAATTGGCATAATTGGTTTAGCCATATCAATTTAAGTATGATGCGCAAAAATAATAGAGAATTTATATGTATATAAATGTCATATCATGCATAGGTATATACATACATAGCATCATCAAGCCTCTGAGGGCATCCCATCATATCATCTCGGCCTCAGTGGGCGAAATCATCAACGTATGCCAGTTGATCGGGTGGTGGTGCGTATATAACATCGTAACCTTTCCACATACCCCCATATGCATATAATATACGCGTATATAACTCCATCTAGTCATGAGTCAATGTACATGTATAAACAAATGCAATGCATAATGAAATAAGTCAATAAGATCTCTCGGAATGTCATAAGATCAATATACCTTTGGTTAATATCACGAAATAAACTTTATCAACTTACTTATTTTCTGAGACCCATGAATAAATGATATAATACTCAGACACATGGGGAATCAAGAACACAGGCACCCCTAGTACTTCTATGAATATAGTCATTTGTGTAAGTTGCGCGTTTTCTCGTTTCGTTTGTATCATATGGATCTTGCCAAAAGGAAAGATGGAATAGCCTTAACATACCTTTATCACAGTCTGTCCAATTACCACATTGAACTCGTTTCATTGCACTTTAATCTACAACAACGATAATAATACTATCTTTAAGTTACGAATGATGCAACTATCGTACAACGAACGACAAGCTTATTTTATGTTAAAACGGACAACATCTCCCCTATTTTTCTTGCTTTCTCCAAGTCCATAAAAACTAAATGAACACATA